ATATGGAATTTCTTAAACAAGGTATTTTATTAAGTTAAAAAATACAGGTAAAAATGATCAATTTTATAGTGACTTTGTGAACACAGTACGGGATTCTAAAATGGCAAAAAACCCTTCTAAAAAGGAAAGTATCTAAAAAAGAAGACAGTTATATTTAATAACCAACATTACAGTCCAAATTAAAGATTCCAGGATTATCTTTTAACTTTATGATCCAGCTTTAAACTGTCTGAGCACTGGGTCCTTTTGTTGTTTGATACTGTCTATGTACACTTTCTGATAGAGGACCATCATATAATCAAAAGAACATAAATTAGGAGAATAACAATATTATTTGCCACATATTTGGGACTTCTTCTATCTGAACTCAATAGACAAGCTGGAAAAAAGATAATTCTTTCTGCTTGTTTGTCCTGGTATAGAATCCTCACATTTTCCATGTAGGAACAAAGAGAGAGCACCAGCCTATGGTACCTTAGTTTGAATATCAACTCTAGTGTTACTTCCTATAGAACAGCTATTTCTCAAGCACTACAGCCTGCAAAACATCAAGAGAATAAACCCCAGCGTACAGAGGCATCATATCCATGATGAGGCCTGAATCTGAATTCTAATTTCACCTCTTCCTTCCTAGCTGTGTGAATTTACTTAGGCCAATTCTTTAATCTGAGATTATTTCCTTGTCTACAAAATTCATTATAATAATGAATTATGTACCACTTCTGTACTAGGTTGCTAAGAACAATAAATTTTAAAAATTGTGTGAAAGTACCTATTTTACAGCTTGGCATTTTCTAGTTTTGTGATCATGGACAAGCCACATTAAGCTCTCATTTCCACATTTCCCCATATGATTTCACAAGGTATAGGATTAAACATTCATGCAAAAAAATTTTTTTATTAATTACATAATGCTATACAGTATGAGGTATTTGGATTTAAAAGGATGCCATTTACTGAATATATGCCTTCATTAGTGACTTCTAATCCACACTGGAAAACAGTGAAAGAAATGGAAAAGCCAAGTAGAATCAAAACTGAAGAACTCCTATCAGTTATTCTTTCTCCTAAACAAAACTCTCTGATTGTAAAAGGAGCTAAGTAAGGAGCCCTGGATTCATGAGAACATCAGAAATTAAACAATTATCCACTGAGTATTTAAAATATACCACAAACTGTAAAAGAACTCATTTTCATAAAGAAGATGGACTTATGAACAAATAATCTCATAAAAGATGACAGGTGCAATCAACAGCATTAGCACATACAAGGTACAGAGGAGCAAATAATTTGAGGGAGGTGCTGACATTTTTTTCTTCTTTGAATTGGATTTTGAAGGATGAATGTGTTTACCAGCCAAAGAGGGATGGAAGAACATTCTGGAGTAAGGAGCAACATATGCTGAAAGGCATGGAACCATAAAATAGCATGGTCTATTCAGTTTTCAATTTTAAGATCTTAAAGGGCTAGAAAAAGCACCATTTGAAATGAAGGTGGAGAGAAAGGCAGGGTCTATCAGAAGGCTTTGACTATGCTGTTGGTGAAGGATTTTAAGCAGGTGAGTTACATAATCAGACATTACTTTTAGAAAGTGATCACTAGCTGCTGTGTGAAGGATGGAATGGGGGCTGGGTAAAAGTGTGTAAGCAGAGATTACTGTGGTTACTTATACTCTAAATACAAGATGAAATTATGACATAAACAACTCAACTAAGTCATTATCTTCCTATTACTATGTAGTACTACTCAATTAACTTCATTTTGTCACACTAATTTTGGCTTTAAACCACAACTGCTTTAATAGAAAATGAAGCCTCCAGCTCTTCAAAGCTGCAATCACAAGAAAGAATCCATGAATTAACTGGCTCTGTTTTAATAGGGCACCATAAATCATACATATTACTGGTTGAGATATCAGAGATTTCACTCTAAAGCCTGAATAACTTAAGATCTTCTTCTAAAACATAGTAAATACTACTGGTTGAGCTTTCAGACACTTCACTTCAAAGCCGAATTTACACAATCTTTCTCAAAACTGCAGCAAAAATAATCATACACCATAACCGATTTGTTAAATCGCTAGATTTAAATTTCACTCATTAAATATCTTATTCTTTTTAAACTCATCACAGGAACCAAAAGGTATTATCAACGGAGTCTGACTCGCCTTACCTGATTCCACTGTCTCCTCCCCTTCCGGTAGAAGCCTAGCTTTCTTAGCATTCTGTGGGGCATCATCACCATTGTCCTCATATATGTTAGACCACTTTATTGCCATATCCAGCTCTGGAGGGGGAGGTTTCTTCTCAGTAGTGTAGGTCTCCGGAGGTGGTACATAGTTTGACTTCCATATTTTGAATTCTTTTGGAGGCTGTTAAGCAAACACATTAAGAAGCACCGTGACGAACCGAGGTTCCCACAATCGGTTATGGGCACATGCACCTCCCTGCCGTTCGCTCATTGTTCAGGTTGACTTTTTTTTTTTTAAGGTTTAAAGACATTTTTTTTCCATCAAAATCATAATACTGTTAAGTGAAAAGCCAAAGGGTTCCCTATACGAATAAAGCTAATAACTTTTAGTTACCAAAGAAGAATCCAGTCTCAGAGATACTACGCCAAGGCTGACCCCTTCAGGAGGCTGCAGCAGACACTGTTGGAGGCAGCACCGCAGGCACTTCGGCGTCAAAGGGAAGGGGTCTCGGGGAGAAGCTGCAGCGGGGGGGGGCGGGGGAGTCACCACCGTTAGTCCTCGCAGCGCGGGGTCGGGGCACCGAGCGCGGAGGTTTGGGTCTCCTCACAAGGGGGCGGGGGCTGCGGGCCGGTCTGACACCCACCAAGCTGGGGAAGGGGGCCCGGGCTCCCCAGGGCTGGAGGTGGGAGGGGTGGTGCGGCATCCCGCAGGAGGTGATTGCGTGTGGGGGAACGAACTGCCGGTCCCCAGGAGAGGGCTCAGGAGGAAGGGGGCGGAGGCCGGGGCCACGATCGGGAAACCGGGTCGGGAACCTCACCTCCTCAGGCGCCTTGACGACGTGCCTCTCCCAGTCTATCTGTTTGTTGAGCGGATTGTAGAGAAAGGCCGGGCGAGTCACGCTCCGAAACAGTTCGTCGGGTCCCGGCAGCCGCTTCTCCGCCTTGTTCCCACAGCCGCCCGCCGACTTCGCAGGATCTGGGGTCCTGCGATTTGTTTCCTCCGGCTCGCTATTATCCTCCTCGCCCGACGAACCTGAACTGCTGCTGCCGTAAGCCGCGAAATAGCTCAGGGGGTCCTTCTCCTCGGCCGCCATGACGGCTGCGCGCGACGACCGTGGGCTCCGCCGGAAGCCGGAAGCTGCTTCAGGGCCCGCCCCGCGGTTGGCTCCGCCCCAAGTCTTGCGGTAGACCACAGGGCCTGCGCCCCCTGACGGCTGCGCCGAGCTCCTACAGCCCCTCTCGGCACTGAGGCGGGAGGTGGGGAGCGCACGTTGCGAAGCAGGGGCTGCTTTAGGCTCCTTCCCGAGGAACCCTGAGAAGAGCCAAGTCCTGTACCAGTGGTCCCAACCAAACTTTCAACATTCAAGAAGCATTTATTAAAGGCATACAAGAAATAAGAATTTGTTTTTTCACTGCCACTTCACCTTAGCCATCGCCCAGAGACTCCAGGATTTCTTCCTGATCTCACTGCATCTCCTCTTCAAAATGAAAATTACTCTCAGTCTGGTTGCTTCCCACAGTCACCATGGAAGACCTCTATGGGCGGTGGACTTATCAAGTCACAAACTAAATCCTCTCCTCCTCGACCTCATTCCAGTGGGCTCTGAAAACTACCTTTGATGAAATTCCTCTTGGATTGCATCTCACCACTCGGTGGGTCTTCCAAACTCTCTGGCTTCTCATTGTCAGCTTCTTTCCATTCTTGCTTTGCCCTGTATGGCCCTTAAACGCTGGTGTTTCCCAACGTATTACCATCTTTCAGCAATACTTATCATTTTGTAGAGGGCATTACAAAGTCGCAAGTCAGCCCATCTCTTTCCATGGCATTAACTACCTTATGCTTGTGACTCCCAAATCTGGGTTTCCAACCCCAATCTTTCCATCCAACCTCTGGACCAGAACTCCCCTTGGGTCTTAAGCTTTCCATGTGGACATCCTGCTGGGGCTTCAAACACCCACTTACTAGATCAGTAACCTGTCTTTCCATATGACTTGTTTCTGTATGTGTTCCCTCTTAGTAATTGATATAACCTAGTCACCAAGAAAACTAGAACTCTTTCACTCCTCCTGGTGATCTGAGAGGGAATGATACTTAAATGAAAGTAAAAAAGTTGGTTGTAGGGCGCCTGGGTGGCTCAGTTGGTTGAGCATCTACCTTCGTCTCAGGTCATGATCCCAGGGTCCTGGGCTAGAGTCCCACATCGGGCTCCCCCTGCTCAGTAGGGAGTCTGCTTCTCCCTCTGCTGCTCCCCCGCTTGTGCTCTCTCTTTCTCAATAAATAAATAAAATCTTTAAAAAAAACTGGTCCACTGTTGAGTGCCTTTGGGGTTGGGGTACCCAGTTTGAGTAACATGAATCTCTGTTATCAAAGCCACCAATAGCCTCTGTGTGACCAAGTCCAAGGGCTGCTTCTTCCTTCACCTTTTAACAAGATAGGCCTCCTTTATTTTTTAAGATTTTTTTTTTTATAATTTATCTATTTGTTAGAGATAGGCCTCCTTCTTGAAACACTTTTTTCTCTTGCCTTTCACTAGATCATACACTTTAGTTCTCTTCCTATTTCACAGGGCTCTTTTCAGTTTCCTCTCTTGCCTTCTTCTGTCTCACCTCTAGATGTGAGAGCACCTTAGGCTCAGTCCTGGATCATCCTTCTTTTCTATGAACCTTATGTTTCAAGGTGAATTCATCAAGTCCCATGGTTTAAAATACCATTTTATGCTAATAACTCCCACATTTATATAACCAGTCCAGAAGTATTCCCTGAACACCAAATCCTTGTACCCAATTTCCAACTTCAGTGTCTAACAAGCACTGCAAACTTAACATATTTCTGGTAGATTTTCTACCAAGATGGTGGTCAACAATTCCTGCCATGCCAGTGCTGCATGCCGCTCCTTCCATCATGGGGTCTATTTCCTCTCCCTTTTGGATCTGGGCTAGCTTTGTGCCTTGCTTAGATGACTAGAATGCCTCCACTTTTTTTTTCCTGGGAGCCCTGAGCCACCATGTAAAGAGAGGTCCAGCTACTCTGCTGGAGATACCATGAATAAAGAACCCCAGCCAGCTCCCGGCTAGTGTATCCATCCCAGGTAAGGCACTAGACTTGTGAGTGAATTTATAGAATCCCAGTTGAACCTTTATAAGAATGCAGAATGATCCCAGGATAGACCATCATAAGAACTATGAAGCCAAGTCTAGCCCAATTTGCAGAATCATGACAAATAAATAGTCATTATTTTAAACCACTAAGTTTTAGGGTGGTTTGTTATGCAGCAATAGATACCTGACAAACATGTCCAAAGGAAACTCTTCATTTCCTACCCTCAATACTCCCCACCTCCCATAATTTGCCCCATCTCTTTAAATTGCAGCATTATCATTATTTTTGAGTAATCTCTGCACCCAGCATGGGGCTTGAACTCATGACCCTGAGATCAAGAGTCATATGCTCTACAGACTAAGCCAGCCAGGCACCCCAAATTGCAGCATTATTAATCCAGGTGCTCAGGTCAAAAGTCAGCAAATGTTATTTCAAATTTAAAATATAGTCCAAGTCCAAACATTTATTACTAATTCTACCCCTACTACCTTTCTTTTTCCTTGCTTGCGAATTTTCTTAACATTTAATAAACTTTAAATTGGTTTAGATTTAGGCATTACATTTAGTGGCCGTGTCTCTTCATCTCCTTCAACCTGAAATGGTTTCTGTCTTTAACTTTCATGACCTTGGTATTTAGACTATAGACCAGTTATCTTGTAGAAGATGCCTCAATTTGTCTTAGTGATAAATTCAGGTTACAAATCTTTGTTAAGAACATAATGAAAGTGGTGTTGTGTTCTTCTCATTGCATTCTATCAGGAGGCATGTGATTTCATTTGCTTTGGTACTAATGATTATTTTTTTTAAAGATTTTATTTTTAGGTAATCTCTGTACCCAACGTGGGGCTCAAACTCACAACCCCAAGATCAAGAGTCACATGTTTTACCAGCTGGGCCCAGCCAAGCATCCCTGATTTTTTGTTTAAGGTAGTATCTGGCAGGATTTTCTGCTATCAAGCTACTTTTTTCCTCCTTTGTAATTAATAAGTGTTTTGTAGGGAGATATTTGAGGCTATTGTCAATATCCCATTCTTCATCACATTATTTGTCCATTTACATTAGCATTGACTCATGGTTTCTTATTTTGTGCAGTGATTTATAATCTGTTATTATCATTACTTATTTTGATGTTGAAATTATTCTGGATTTGGCCTGTGGGAGCCCCTTTAAGCTGGTTTCTGTGCCTTTTGGACATGTCTCAGCTCAGCTGTCACCTGCTCTGAGAGGACCTCCCAGATGATGCTATCTATACTCTTTCCCATGTTTTAGCTCACACATGTCCCATTTTATATCCATGGTAACTAGAATTACCTAGGTTTCCATGCTTCTATTTTACCTCCCCCAACTAGAATATGAATTCTTTGAGAACACAGATTTTATCACTGTATCTCCAGCACCTAGAATAAAAGGTACTCAATAATTACTAAATTAATGAGTGAAAAAAAAAATCTCCACTCTTAACTTTGCTATTTAAGAAATACTAAGAAGAACATGGAGTTGTGGAAAGAACACTGACTGTGGAGCCAAACAGCCCTGGATTTTTATCCTAAACAGTTGTGCGATGTTGAATCATTTACTTTATTCTGAGTTTGTTTTAGCTCTGCTTTCAGGTAGCCTTCATAAGATTGCACTTAACAACTATAGACAGATTTGCTTCTTGGTTTGCTTTTTTTCCCCAAAGTCAAAGTGTGTATATTTATCCACTGATGCAAGATAAGACCAGAGCCTGGAACTTTCTGCTCCCTTATATATTACTTAGGTAAAAAGACAGTACCTGTAAGACTTGACTTCTACTTTATACCATACACAGAAATCACTTTATAATGAATTATATGGCCAATTGTGAAACTAAAGCAACTAAGTTTCCAGAAAAAAAATAGGAGAATATCATCATGACATTGAGATAAGCAAAGATTTCTAAAACAGGAGACAGAAATCACTAACCACAAAAGATTGATAAATTAGATTAATTAAAATAAAAAGACTGTTTATCAAAATAAACAAACCCTGAAACTCCCAAACAGAACCAAAACACTTCTTAAAAATAATTGAAACAAAACAAAAATTTGCCATTATTCTGGCCTGTTCCTAATTTGCCAGTGTTTGACCTTGCACTAAGAGCAACATGCTGACCAAAGATGTGTAATCACCTCATGAAAAGGTGTGCTCACCACGAAAAGACTTGGAGAAAACTTAGGCTACATACTACTTAGGCTACATATGATTCCAACTATGTGACATTCCAGAAAAAACAGTACAGAGACAATAAAAGTTTCAATGGTTGCCAGGGTTAGAAGGGGGAGGGAAGAGGAAGAGATGAGTAAGTGGAACAAAGGAAATTTTTAGGGCAGTGAAACTGTCCTGTATGATATTACACTGGTGGATACATGACTTTATGCATCTATCAAAACCTACAGAACCAGGGCGCCTGGGTGGCTCAAGTCGGTTAAGTGTCCAGCTCTTGAGTTCGGCTCAGGTCATGTTCTCAGGGTCATGAGACTGAACCCTGCATCTGGCTACATGCTCAGTGGGGAGTCTGCTGGAGGATTCTCTCCCTCTGCCTCTCTCTCTGCTAGTGCATGCACTCTCTGAGTAAATAAATAAAATCTTAAAAAAAACAAACAAACCTGTAGAACTGCACAGCAGAGTGAATCCTAATGTAAACTACTACCTTTAGTTAATAATGTTTCAAGACTAGTTCATCAATTCTAACAAATGTACCACACTAATGCAAGATATAAAAATGGAAAACTCTGTACTTTCTGCTCAATTTTTCTATAAATCTAAAACCATGCTAAAAAATAAAGTCTTTTAATTAAGATAAAATTTTAAAAATGAGTTCTGAATTGTTGTTTTTGTATGAAGTGACAATATGGTATCTGTAAAAAGTAAATTTTTCATTCCTGCCTTTACCAACCTGTCAGTCTGACATTCTAATTTATATATTTTCAGCAACAGGTGGTTTTCAGTGTTTAAAGGAAAAAAAAATTGACTTCATAAGATTCAGAAAACCCAAAAGGCTAAGTTTATTAAAACCTTAATTTTATTGTCTGTATAGTTAACAGTCTGAAAGAAAACTCAGTGTTATAAACTATAAATGTAGGTGATACAGCATATCTAAATTCTTTTTGATTCTGAGTAAATTCTACTTCAAGTAACCACATATCAAATTTTAATTAATGAAATGAAAAGCCTGCTTCTGCTTTTTAACGAGACTTCTTTAAATGTAATGCCACTATTTTCTTATGCCTCGCTGAAGGTGAAACATGCTTCCCATAATCTTTAGAAAATGTTACACTATAAAAAACATCCAGGTTTGAAAAAAATTTATCTAAAGAATATGTCAATCTTCTTCGTGACTGACAAATGCATCAGTCTATCCAGAAATGCAACTTGATCTCACAACTTGAAGTAATGTTTCTATAAAAATTGGTACATATAAGAAAAGTATTTTAGGTATTTACTTCCTATTGAAATACCTGAAACTTCCCCCCAAAATAGCACTACATTGAAAAACTCTTATTGTTAACAGCATATTTCCACCTCTGCTTTTTAAAAGTAATGGAAATGTATGAGAATATATCAGGAAATAGGCAGAATTATAACTTAAATAAAAACAACGACAGCATAAAATTTATAAAGGTGTAAAATTAGTCAAACTTTGTTATAACAAAAACACAAGTCAGGCTAATGATCCACTGGTTCCAGACAGTATTGAAGACAGAACTGGTACACAGATAGACACACACAACATTTTGTCCTAGTTATTTCAACTTGTATAGTGGTCCTCATTAAAAGAGAATGAAAAGTACAGAAAAATATTTTTAAAATCTCACCAAATTACACGCAATCGCAGGCTTTTGCCGAGATTTTTCTGTAGGAATGAAAATGATAAGCAAAGATTATGAAAATCCTAAGAAAATAGTATTAATTAGTAAGGTTAATAGGAAATGTATTTTGGCAAATTGAGATCTTAGGTGGCTCAAACTCCCTTAGATGTTCCTCCGCATCAGAAGGGGACTCTGTAAGTGTCTCTAAGCTCAAGAGAGTGGGAGATTCTTTTCAGTACACTGGCAATTTTCCTGTCAGTGCTTGGCTTTATTACCATATAGGTGTAGCTTAATCTGAAAATGTACTGCTGTATGTTGGAAAGGACTATTAGACTGAAAATTCCAGTACAAATGCACTGAGACATTATACCCAACCTCAGACTATTCTTAAAGAGAGAAATGTTCCCTATTAAAGTTAGTCTTAAAACATAAAAAATGTGAAAACACTCCATACCTCAAAAATGCAAAGAAAACACTGAAAATTACATGATCAACATGATTTTCTTTAGCTATCTAAAAGTATGCTTCTTTTGTCCTAAAAAAGTCTACTTACAAAGTATGCTTCCATTGCTTTTTAAAAGACATATATCAAATGTTGTCATTATAGCAATTTTATAAAAAGATTGATATCCTTTCAAATATTTTTTGTCATTATTAAGAAAGATTAAAAGGCTGTAAACTGTCATTGATGGGAAACAGCACGTGATCTCAAGGGAAGAAACATCTCACTAGAGTTTCCACAAGTTCCTCCTCCTTCTAACTGCAGCTCTGGTGGCAAAGGAGGAGCCCCGGGGTCCCCAGGTCTGGGAAGCGTAGTTGAAGAGAAGGTCGGATTTTCAGTTCTGCCGACTTCAAGAACAGGCAAATTCAGAGAAGACTCAGTAGAAAAAAAGGGGGCCGTGCTGGATTCTCCTTCGGGATGGTATATGACAGTGGATGCTCTCAGTTTTTCAGAGAAATTACTCTCATTGGAATTTGATCTAGAGAAGTTGTTTGTGGCTCCATCTGGGAAAGGCTCACAGCTGCTGCATTTCAGTCCTACAATAAAATTGAATTATTCAGATGTAAATGAAAAAGTAACTTAAAACATTGAACCCATACCCATCTTGTAAGCTAGTTACCACACAACAGAGATTTAAATAGCAATTTATAAATTCTGTCATGAATCCATTTCATGTTTCATTTGCTTTTCCCAACAACCATGAAGTATACCATTATTTTTATTTCTTCGATAAGGAAACAGTCTTAAGGAAGCTAAATGACATGCTATAATTCACATTTAGTTTGTATCCTTATATACTTAACCACTGAATGACCTGGAAAAAATTAAGTAGCCCCTAAAATTTTTCATAAAATAAGAAACAGCTGTCACAACTAATATTCTTTAGCATTCTGGCCCACAAAACATATTACCCAATAAAAAACAAACTTTAAACAGAGCATATGCTAAAATTCTGAGTTAATTAATACCAATTACAGATTCTTGAATCCCAGGGTGTTAGACATGTCAGAGGTCCCCTGGGATAGCTGGGATGTCCCCTGGGATAGCTTCTCACTAGTAGAGATGAAAAAATAGAGGCCCCAAACAGTCAAGTCATGCCCAACATTCCAGAACTACTTCATGGGAAAGTAAGAACTATAACCCAGGTCTCCTCTTCACATTAAATAACGTCCCGGTTCTCAACCTAACAGTTCACTTAAATGACAGTGGTTGCTCAGATCAAAGAATTTTACCATATCCAATGGGTACAGCTAACAATTAGCCTCAGGGTGAAAGAATAAACACACACAAATTTTATCTTTGTTAGTCTTAGCAAATATTTAACCTAACTGTCTAAAGGCACAGAACCTCCTGAGCTGACAAATCTTATGTAAAATCTGAGAAGTCTATAAAGTACATTTATATGTCATTTTTTTCCCACTAGCTTTTCAACTTCACAATACATTCAGCATTTCTGTTCCATGCTATAGGAACTATTTCTTAAATATGGCTCAGGAGGGGAGACTTCCAATGTTTCCCAGTATGGACCGACAGAGTTTAAGGGCAGAGCCCTAAATTACTCTTTTCTGTATCCCCAGTGCCTAGAACACCTGGGGTAGAGCTACATCATATGCATCTTAAGTGCTCTAGAGAAAGGCACAGGGAGAGAGAGATGGGGTTTGTGGGGAGAGGAGGATTTAAACAGTGCAGGCAATTCTCTGTAGTATTTCAATTAGTGAGTGTGTGCTCCAGGGTGAGGGTGAAACACAGGAAGTGAATTTGCTATGCCATTAATCAACTTCTGTTCCCACGCCTCTCTCATCATGCCAGACCGAGTGTGACTCTAGTGTTTAAAGTTATGGATAACTTATATAACATGATTCTTACAAGCATATGCCAACCACTTCATTCTGTGATCAACTGGTGGAAGAAGAACCATCAGAATTGGACTTACTAAAAAGACTCTGCCTACATATTGTTCTTCATGTGTGATGTGTATTTTCAGGGGTTACTTCTGAATAGATTGATCTAATGCACACTTCAGAAACAAACTCATGTGAATACCGGGATTCATTAAAGTTTTGTATAAACGGTGTCGTTAAATAAATACAAATACAGAACACTGAGTGATATTCCACTTTTCCAATGAAATGACATAAGGTAAAAAAAAAGTAAATCAAATGTAATTCTGAAGCTGAAACTTTTTGAACAAAACCAAAATGATCATTTCTGAGTTTTTTGTTTTGTATTTTACTTTTTTTTTTTTAAAGATTTTATTTATTTATTTGACAAAGAGAGACACAGCGAGAAAGGGAACACAAGCAGGGGGAGTGGAAGAGGGAGAAGCAGGCTTCCCGCCGAGCAGGGAGCCAGATGTGGGACTCGATCCCAGGACCCTAGGATCATGATCTGAGCTGAAGGCAGACACCTAACGACTGAGCCACCCAGGCGTCCCTTGTATTTTACTTTTAAAAGCATTGTCACATGTAAATGAATTCTTGGGCACCAAACTATCTTACCTTTCAGATGTTCTAGTTTTATATTTCTAAGTTTCAGCACTTCATCTGTAATCTTCTGAATCAGGAAGTTCTGTGTTTTTTCTCGCCGAATAGATTCAACCAGTGTATCTAGTCCTTTGGGGTTTTCTTGTAAGTAGTCTAACAATTTTCCAGCCCTTTTTCTACTTGATGTTCGGCAAGAAATTTCTTCAGTGTCTTCTCTACTGAGTATTTTTTTTGCACGTAGATGATCAAAATGTCTCTCAGCTATGATTTTTTCACACAGGTATACACGCAGATTTTCTAAAGCCTAAAAGACATAAAACTGTGCTTCAGGGCTTTTTTTTTTTTTTAACCCTTGAGGAAATCACATAGGTGACTGATTATTAGTGAGGAATCTTAACTGGTGGGAGAAAACGTACTCAAGTCAGGAGGCTCAGGCCTACTAATATCCATATTATTAAGACGAAGGGCCAAGTAGACAGAAGTCGGTCCTAGACTAAACATTCCTCGCAGCTTCTGTCCCTGCTTTAATCTCATCTTCACACCAATAAACCAAGACCAGGCTACTGTGAGGAGGAAGCTGGTCAAATCTAAAGGGCCTGGGTCCGTGGAAATAGGGAGGTATGCTCAGGGCCTCCACCTTCAGGGGTAAAGATGAGAGCAGAGGCTTCCATACATTTTAGTTACCATTAACAAGGAATCCAGGATTAGTCAGGACCAAAGAGGATAACTTAGTGAGGCTTGTAATTTGTAACTTTCTCATGTTTGTTAGTTTTCCATTCTCCTCGAGTAAAACCATGGAATGTCTTTCCTAGAGTAAAACCATAACAGTCCATAATGTATTTATCTTTGGAGTTAGTTGGAAAGACTATACCCTAACTCAGTGAGTCAGATGGTAGAAGGGAGGTGGGCGTGGGACAGGGGGAGTACACTAAAGAAATAGTGAATGTTGGAAGAAATTAAAGAAATGAAGAAAAGGAAATCACAGAAAACAGGCTTACATCTGAGAAATGCCCCAAGGAGCTTATTTGGCAGAAAGCTGATCTGGGTCCCAATAAATAGCATTAATAATTTGATGCCAGTGACTGTATTCTAGCTCTTCCATTTACTAGATATTTGATCTTGGGTAAGTAACTTAACTCTTCGGTGCCTCAGTTTCCTCATCTGAGTATTATGAGGAATAAAATAATGTATGTAAAGTACTTGGAAAAGTGCCTGGGAAATAGTAAGTCATCAACAAGTGTTAGTGATGAAGACGATGATGACTAATTTGACTTATATTTATCATGATGAGCTAAAGGCAATGGAAGACCTTAGAAGTATCCGAGTATGTGGTGGCAGGAAAGTAGGCTGGGTGAAGGGTTCCTACAGTTCTCAGTCCACTGAACTCCCACATTCATTTATTTATTCACAAAACAAACATTTCATATATCTAAATACCTAATATGCCAAGTGCTGAGCATACAAAGATGAACAAAGCTTGAATCCTGTACACAAAGGGCACATGGTCTAGTTGGAGAGCACATATAAGACACAAGCCAATAATTTTAAGACAATGTGATATGACCCAGAAAAAAAAACAAAGAGAAACACAAGTACTGGGGAAGCACAGAGGAAAAACTAACTGTACCTCCATGACCTGGGAAATTTACAGAGGCTACACTTGTAGCATGAAGGTGCACAGAGGGGAATACTAACAAGTCTGGGGTAGCTGGGATGCAGGGTGCATGTGAAACTGGTAAGAAATTAAGTTGAAAGGGAAACAGTTTGGATTATGGAAGAATTTTTTTAATATGTTGAGGAACATACATGTCCCTGTAGCCAAAAGAGTCATCAAAGGTTTATTAAGTAAGAAGCAATTAAAAAGCTTTTGGAGAGGACTGGGGGAGCAAAAACTGGGAGAACCATAAGGAGATTGCTGCAATATTTTACGTAAGCTATGCTGAGTGCATGAATTTAAGCTGTGGGGATGGAGAGAATAGATTTCAAAGCTGAACTCCTTGAAATACCTCATCCGTTGTCATCTCTACCACTTATATGCTGATGATCCCCAAGTTTGTGTATGTGATCGAGACTTTCTCCACTTAGAAATCCCAAATGTACTTCAAATTCAACTTGTCCAAAACCAAATTTGTTATCTTTGCCTGTCCTTTTCCTCTGATATTCTTAACTCATTTGGGAGTACCACCATCCATCCGATTGTGCAATAAACCTACAACTCATCCTCCACTTCCTCTCTTTTGCTCACCTGCCACATCTGATCAGCCACCCACCAAGTCCTGCCAACTTACCCGTTATGTTTATCTAATCTGCACCTTCACTTCATTTCTATTATTAGCATTGCCTTAGCTCAGGTCTTCATCCTATGTTGCATGGACTATTAACAAACAAGATACCTAGCTGTACTTACTATTTCTTTCCTCCTGTTCAAATTTCTCCTTCACACATCTATCAACTCTTCCAATTTTTCAAGAGAAAATGGAAATCTGGAGTGTTATGTGAATTCTACTAATACTGAAATGTTGTTAATTTTGTAAAAATTTAAAACTTGGTGTGTTCCACCAACTTAAAAGATAAAGTTCCTTAACTTTGGCAGAATAGTAGAGAGGTCAGAAGTGTGGCTCTGGATCAGGTCAACTTCAGTTCAGATCTTAAATCTGCCATATACTCTTGTAAGAGCTGGGGCAAGTAACTTAACCTCTCTAAGCTTTGGGTTATTTATAAAATAGTGATAAATACTTACCCTGCAGGACCGCTAGAAGGACTAAGTAGGACAGTGAATATGAGGACTTGACACAGTCTCTGATACACAGTAAGTACTCAGTAAATAATAGCTGTTTGATAATGGCAGACAGGGTACTTTATAATATGGATCCTACCTACCTCTGGAGCTTAATCTATCACCACCTCTACCCGTCCTGGTACTTTATGTTCTACCTAAAAACTGCTGTTTGTCACTCTATAGTTCTCTGTGTTGTTACTTTGTCTGGTTTTCTCTTCTCATACCCTAAGTCCCTATTTTTCATTTACGATGCATCACAGTGGTCATCTACTTCAGGAAGCTTTGCTTAAACTCCCCAGAAGGAGTTAGGCACCCCTCTCCTCTGTCCTTATAGCACCCTGTGCGTTTATTTCACTTGTCTATATACCGGGACTCCACTTCTTACCTCCCAATTCATTTCCACTCTGTGTCACTACTATTTTCAGCCACCAATAACCTCCTCACCATCAAATCTCATACTTGTCAGTCTTCATCTTACCTCTCAGCAGCATGGATGCAGCTGACCACTCCCTCCCTCCTTGAAATACTGGTTTCTTGTCTTATATGAATACCACACTCCCCTGGCTTTAGTCCCACCTCTGTGGCTATAACCTTTCACTTTTTAAAACTCCTCTATGATCAGAATATAAAAGTGGATTTCCTGTAGATATTTGGAAATAAGGACCTAGAGCTGACAAAGAAGGAAGTCCAAATATGTGTATGATAATTTTAAAGCTTTAAAAATCCTAGCACTTTATTACCCTCTGTAAGACCCTTCATGAACGGGCTCTAGCCCACCTTTGTAACTTCGCCTCAGGGCACCCTCTGCCTGTGTTTCCAATTTTTCCAAGTCACCAAGGTCTTGTCTGTTTTAGGTCCTCTGCAAATTCTATTCTGCCTAGAATATTATTCCCCCCCAGAATAAAGTTCTGTCATATTCTTCAGCAACCAGTTTAAATGTAACCTTCCCTGACCATCCTATGTCAAGCAGATTTCCCCTGCTACTGTCTCAATACCTGTTTGTCTCCTTCATAGTACTTACCATAATTTGTAATCATTTCTTTGTTTTCAACAAATATATGTTTGAAGCAGGCAAAAACCAGGCATGTTTTGTCCAACTCTGTATATCCTGCACTTAGCAGTGTCAAGTAGATAGTGTTTCAGATGAATGGAAAATTCATTGCACTTATACTGTAATTTGAAATTATTAATTTATGTCTGTCTACCTCCTCCCAAGAAATCAAGCTCTTTCCAAACGGGGATTGTGTCTTAGTCTTTAATTTTTGAACTGTTAGACTCATGCATGCCTCAGAGAACTAAATTCAACCCAAAAGATGAGGTAAACAACTAGAGAGGTAGGGGAGAGGGTGGAACATAGTGAAAAAGTGGGACTTTCCAGGAGGATGGGTGGTGGTATACTATCCATCAAGACAGAATACTGCAGGGGACAACAAGCAGCTTTGGGGAAGGGATGATAAAAAGTTCAATTTCTGACAAGATGAGGAGTGTGCAGAATATAAAAGTGGATTTTCTGTAGATATTTGGAAATAAGGACCTAGAGTTGACAAAGAAGGAAGTCCAAATATGTGTATGATAATTTTAAAGCTTTCTGAGGTCATCAACCATTTTGAAAATAGCACGAAAAAAATTTCTAAGAAAAAAAATGTGCACGTACTTTTTTTCCATAGACCTCCTGAAAACCCATTCATGATTCCCCATGGTTATGAATTTCTGATATAGCTGTAAATTGAAATCATGGAGATGAGTAATATCAATGAACTGATAGGAAAAAAATGAATAAAAACCTGGAAGACACTCTTCACAACTGTGTGTACAGGTTTTATATTTATGCTCACTTGTAACCTCTCACAGTCTTTTGTTATCAGCTGTAAAATGGGAATGACAATTATTTCCCTTAGAGGCTGCTGTAAAGATTAAATGGCAACACTGCAAATTGTGTGACAAAGAATCTGGAAAACCACAGGCCTAGCTTTTAAACTTCATGGTTCCACTGGCACAAATCTTATATAAGACAACACTCATTTATTCTATGGTAGTTATCAATGTCCCAGTCTGATCTCTAATAGAATATAAAGCAGAGGCCTGATTGTCCTTTTTTTTTGTATCTTTCTAGGCCCAAGAACAGTACTTTCCATATACTAAGTGCTCCATAAAAATCTGCTGAATGAGGAAACTAAGGCACAAATCCCAGTCATATCCAGTTTCTTTCTGCTAATGAGTCATGCCAAGTGTAATTATGTAATTATGAGTACAATGTAATAAACCTTTCAAGGGAGGGAAAGGGGAAGAATTTAAGGTAGATGAACATTTAAAAACCTGCTGTCTTGTCCAGTTCACAAATATGATTCTGTGTAAGTACTAAGGTGTTAAACCGGAACTCATTTTCTGTTGAGTCTGTGTGTTTAATTTGAAATTATATAAAGTTATTTCAGTGGTACTCATATAGATCTCAGATGGCAAAACAAGTAAAACCTTAACAAGTATTAAGTACGAAGATTTGGGCAGTTCTGCAGCGTCCAAGCAAAAGACCGTAATTTAGGTGCTGAATATTTTCAGCATTTACCTGTAAATTAATTTTCGGCTACACCCCCTCTCAATTTAAATATGTGGGCGTTTGCTTACTAGGGGAATTCCAGGTTGTGCTTTCAGCTGTTGAGCTTCCCCCAACCCCCCTTATAAAAGTTTCACGTATTTGCTCCACTGCTTGGGATCCTTTAACTGGTCCAGCTTTCGCTCCAGGTTGAGCCAGCAGCCTAAAGACTCTGACTCAAGGATGAACCTGGGCAGTCGATTCCCAACAACGCAGCTCCAAAGCGCAGCGGCGGTAAAAATCACCAGTGAAGAGCGGGCAAGCAGCTGACTGCGAAGAAACGCTCCACTGGACAAGGTTTCAGGAACCCAAGCCCCGCTTTTAGCGATTTTAAACGTGGATTAGCAGGTCACGAGGGGTCACTTCCACCAAGGTCCCTCGGGTGCAGTCCTGCGGTGCCTGGACCTTCCGCTTCTTCACCCGAAGGCTCCTCTTCCGACTCGGACTCCCACTCCGGGTTTCCGCTTTCCACGCCCGCCGGGCCGCAGCCTGCCCCTGCCCACCCTCGACCCCCGGCCCTGGGCGGCGCCCAGGCAAGGTTGTGCTACTCACGTCCTTCTTCACTTCTGTCAGGTCCTCCTCGGTGAGGGACGGCGCGGTGGGCTCCATGGCGGAGGGAGTAAGTGCTTCTTCCGGGTCCGGGAGCTCCGGCAGCACCGCCCTGCCGGGCTGGGGACTTCGGCCTCCGGGTAAAGGGGAAGAAGGGCAGGCGGAACGGGTCGAGAGGAAGAGAACTGCCCCTTCGACAACAGAGGGGCTCAGGGATGAAACCGCAGAGCTTCCGGCTCCGCCTCTGGGGCCGAAGGCGCTGCAGACCTAGGCGTCCCAAAAGGGCTTCCGTGTCACGCTCCTTCCTCTCCGGGAGACTTAGGCGCAGGCCCCGCCCCTCGACGAATTTGGGCGAGCCTTAGAACCCGCCCCATCTCAGAGGGAGCCAATCGGTGCCGGCCCATGGGCCAAGCCTGTCCCTGCCCCCCGGCCGGATCCTCTCAGGAGTGGCTCCGCCCACAGCCCCCGCACGTCATTTGCGAGGAGCAGCCGGTTGGCCTCCGGGTAAGGACTGGTTTCCGTGGGTGGGGCCCGTTGCTCCTCCCGCCGCACGCCCCGCCTTCGCAGACTGCTCACCGCTTGTCAGTACCTCTGGGTTCTGCCCCTTTTCCCAGACCTTGCCCCACAACTTCCGGGTGCTGCGTTAGCTCACTGAAGTTGTTAGCTTATTCGCTCACGTGCAGATACCGGCGCATGTCATACACAACACACACGCAGCTTAACTATAATAGTAAAGAAATTTTTTGAAAGAGAAAAACCGCCTATGATCCCCTCGTTTTAATACCTAATTTAACGTCTGCATACTTTTTGGTCACTGTTTTTTACAATCCTATTTCCTTTTTCATCTGTGTGAAGGTACGTCTAGCTTAAACCTCTCACAGGCCTGCTGTGAGAATTAAATGATACTATATATGTAAGGTTCTTAGAGGTACTTGGCACACAGTATGAACTCTATTATTATCTGGTATTACTCATTTATTGAGTCCTTATGTCCCAGTCATCTTATATCCTGGAAGAGTTCTATTTTTATGGGGGAGACTGATAAACAGCCAACTATTCCCAGAATGGTATCTAGCTACTAATAGACGTGTATACAAGACAATATGAATAATGACTAATGTGGGTGAGACGTTCAAAACACAGCCTGGGCACAAGACATGTTTGGACAACATGATAAACTGGATGGTATTTGAAGTGGTGAGGGTAGATAGAAATGACAAGAGGAACAAAGACAAACTTGGGAACTCCAGAATTTTTTTAAAAGTAAACTCTACACCCAACAGGCGGCTCAAACTCACATCCCAATATCAAGAGTTGCATGCTCTGCCCACTGAGTCAGCCAGTCAGACACCTCTTGGGAACTCTAACATTTAAGGGAAGGGAAAGCAAAAGAACCAGAAAAGAACAGTGTTGCCAAAGCCACACCAATGTAGTTTTGATCAAGTTGCATCATAAGCTTCTAACATTTACATTGCATCATATGACTTTTCCTAAGCTGATACATAGTACAAGTCCAGTTTTTTCTGATTGCTTAATCTTCCCTCATCTTGGTATAGCCCAATTTACTTAACCATTTGTGCTTTCATTTCACATATATTTACCGAATGTCAACTATGTACCAGACACTGTTCTAGGTGCTGGCAAAACAGCTATTAACAAAATAGATAAAAATTCCTTTCTTCCTGGAGTTTAAATTCTAGCATACATGTGTTTTGGAGCAGGGCAGATAGACATTTGGAAAATGATATGTAAAGTTATTATGTTAGAAGATGATAAATACTAAGAGAAAATACAAAACAGGAAAGTAAGATGAAGGTATATGAAATGTCAACAAAAAAATTTTTTATTCAACTATAATTAACATATAGTGTTATATTAGTTTCAGGTGTACAATATAATGATTCAACAATTCTGTACATTACTCAGCACTCAGTGCTGGAGTGGTAACATTTAAAATAGGGTGGTTAGTGAAGATCTCACCCAGAAGGGGAGATTTAAGTTACCACTTGAAGGAAGTGAGGGAATGAGTCATGTGGACATATAGAAAAAGAACATTAGTAGAGGGAACAGCCAACGAAAAGTATCCAGGGGGACTGGGAAGGAGATGAGGTCCTTATGTGCCACTGTAAATGTGTACTCTGACTTTACTCTGAGTCATATCGGTGTACTCTGAGTCAAACAGGAAGCCACTGGAGAGTTCTGAGCAGGGGAGTGACAGAATCCGATTTATGATTTGAAAAAGGAACACTTTCACTGTTGCCTTGGGGGGAAAGAATATGGAAAAGGGGAGACCAGTTAGGGTGCTGTTCCTGAAATCCAGGCCCCAGGAGATGGTGGCTCAGGTCAGGGTTAGTAGCAGGGAGGGTGGTGGGAACCTTTGGAAGAGAAGTGGGGACGCGATTTCATTTCCTTTTAAAAGGGTTACTCTGGCTGCTGAGAGCGGACTGTAGGTGTAAGGGTGGGTGCAGAGACAGCTGGAGGCTACCACAGTGATCTAAGGGAGAAGGAGGGTGGTGTGACCAGAGTGGGAGCAGTGGTGAACACTCCCCCATGGTTACCTTAAGTTATTCCCAATTTGTCATTGTTGTAAACAATTTTGTCCCCCAATTTTTCATCTACATATTCTCCATCCTTTTTTCTTTGGAATTATCATTTCCTTTGCATAATAAATTCTCAGGAGCACAGAGCCCAAGGCAATGTCTTTTCCTACATATTTCCACAGGTTGTCTCCAAAGTATTGGTCCATCTGTGTGTGGAAATGAACTGTTTTGCCACAACTATACAAGCTCTGCTGATGAAGGAGAGGATTTAGCATCCATCAAAGTAAATGATATGAACGATGCCAGTTTGACACATCCATTTTGATATAGCCATTAGGAGGTGGTTGTTGTTCTGTTTTCTTTTATTATTATTTATTTATATTTTATTTTTTTCTAAAGAGAGAGTGCATGTGCACACATACCTGTGAGTGGGGGAGGGGTGGGGGTGAGGGGGAGGGGCAGAGGGAGAGGGAGAGAGAGAATCTTAAGCAGGCTCCACACCCAGCACACAGCCCAACATGGGGCTCAATCTCACTGAGATCATGAACTGAGCCGAAATCAAGAGGTGGATGCTTAACCGACTGAGCCACCCAGGCACCCTATTGTTCTTTTTTTAAGCAAAACATTTAAGACACACCAAACTATAAAGAAAAATATTACAAACATCTATATTTACTACCAAGATTTGACAAATATTGATATTTTGCCACATTGTCTTGTGTTACCACTATTGATTACCCAATGTAAGTGGCAGACATCTCTGATTCTTGAGGCTTCTTTCATGACTCTTCCTATACATCTGACTTTTTCCTAGTTGTTGACCATAATCTCATTTCTGACACCTTCAACTTCCTTCTATCCTCAGTATTCATTTACTCAGCTAAAAAGTTAAATGTCTGCTATGTGTCAGAAGTGGGAGTTATGGAGAGTGGATCAGGGATTGAGAGGGACTGAGTGAGGAGTTTAGGAATTTTTTTAAAGCCGAGAGGTTACTATTTTGTTTTTGAGGCCATGTCTCAATGTTCTCATGTCGATAGTCTGTGTCAAAGCAGCCACATCTGAACATCATGTGCCTAATCATAGGGCTGGCTCATGGCAGGCCTTACAGTTCCCAGTCCTGCTTTCCTTCTGCACCCTACTTCCTTCATAAGCAGACACATTTCCCCTTCTCGGTCAGACTGTAATGAGGATTGGGCACCTTTTCAAGAAATAGCGCTTTCAAGAAATAGTCCATTCTCTACCTTGCAATAGTTCGACCTTTCCCCACCCTCTCCATCCCCGCCTCAAGTTCTTGGTGCACCATCTGTCTCCTACTGTGAAATACAAGGCATCTGATAAATGTACCACGAAAGATAGAATTTAGGTGCTACAAACACAAGAGAGCATATCATAGTGGCTAAATATGAAGATGTTTGGCATCTGACAGGCTTAGGCTGGTGTATTAGTTTCCTGGGGCTGCTGTAATGAATTACCACAAACCGGGTGACTTAAAACAACAGAAATGTATTCTCTCACAGTGCTGGAGGCCGAAAGTTCAAAATTGACAGGGCCATGTCCCCTCTGAAGACTCTGGGGAGGACTGTTTCCTTGCCTCTTCGTAGCTTCTAGTGGTTGCCAGAAATCCTTGGCATCCCTTGGCTTTGGCAACATGACTCTAATCTCTGCCTCCATGTTTACCTGGCCTTCTCTGTTTTCCTACTGTCTCTGTCTCCAAATTTCCCTCTTCTTATAACAACACTAATCATTGGATTTAAGCCCACTCTAATCTAGTATGACATTCTCTTAACTTGAATGCATCTGTAAAGACATTATTTTCAAATAAGGTCATGTTCCCATGTTCCAATGGACATGGAATTTTGGGAAGACACTATTTAACTCAGTACAGTTAGATTCTAGATTTGCCAATTATCAGATATATGACCTGGGAACAAT